TGAAGGATCATGTGACACTGAAGACTGGAGTAATGATGCTGAAAATTCAGCTTTGTATCACAAGAATAAATTACATTTGAATATATATATCTAAATAGAAAAAATAGAAAATACATTTTCATACTACTTCACATTATTACTGTTTTACGGTATTTTTGATCAAATAAGTGCAATAAGTGCAAGTATAAGAGACTTACATAACAAAAACAAAAACATAATTATTCAAAATTTTTGACCACCAGTTTACTAGTTTAAAACCAAACCTGACCTGGTTTCTATAGAATACAAACCTAATTCTGTTCTCCCCTGCAGGCGAAACAAATTCAGAACTGCTCCACAAACTTCCATGCGGTTGTTCCGTGTCATTATGAATACAGGCCTATGAGAATACAAACTTCTCCCCTGCAGGCGAAACAAATTCAGAACTGCTCCACAAACTTCCATGCGGTTGTTCCGGTTGTTCCGGAATACAGGCCTATGATTTTACTGCAAACCACGGTTAGACGTTCCCTGTATATTGCCACTGCCGGCTCCAGATGTGGTTACAGCAGAATCATTAATGTTTTTGTCCATTGTTTGTGTTCCAACAGAGCTTCCAGTCTTCCAAAACCAGATGTGGCACCAAAGGTATAAGATTTACACACACATACAGCCAGCCAGAGTGCACAACTGGAGTATTGTGAATGGATTGTGTGTGTATATGTCATTATTCCCCCCTGAGACAGACACACAGCTCTATATGTATGCACGAGTGTGACTGCTGCGTTCAGTTATCTGTCTTGAATTGCTAGAAGTCACTGTCATACAGTTGCTGTTGTCGTTTTGTTTGAGTCCTGCATGTGCTTCTTTCCATGTTTAGGATGATTCTGTGGAAATCATCAAACCCGTTCCCATGACAACCTCCATTCCATCTTCCTCTGACATCACAAACTCCACCCACATCTCTTCATCCTCCAATCGGAGCGCCCGTCCGTTTGGAGGAGCAGGGTCACCACACATAGCCTCTATTCCCTCTGCTGCATCTGCTTTTGCACCCGCCTCCTCAGCTCAAAACCCTAATCCACAGGCTCCGCCCACTCCTACTGATGGCTCACCCAATCATCTACCAGCGGTGCCCCGCCCTTCAGTGTATAACACGCCCATCAATCTCTACTCCAATGAGAATGCCTGCGAGGTTGCCATGGGCCAGAGGCGGGGCCTGCTGGAAAGCCAGGCTGAAAGCTCTCAGCTGAATGGGTAAGAGTTTTATTGACACTTCAATGCTCCACCCACCCCATAAACACAAAGCTCAAGAGAGCTCAACCAAACCTACTAGCTCTGAGATGACGCACAACATTGCAGCATTTCATTCAAAGCAAAAACGTATTAGAAAATTGCTACCTGTATATAAAGACAAAGGGACAAGGCTGTGTTTCTTAAAAAAAATTGAAGTGACGTGACATGCATTTATAATGTTACAAAAGACTTCTATTTCAAATAAATGCTGTTCTTTTGAATATTCTATTCATCTAAGAATCCTTTCAATATTGATAATAAGAACCATTGTTAATAATTGAGCAGCAAGCAGCATATTAGAATGATTTCTGAAGGATCATGTGACACTGAAGACTGGAGTAATGATGCTGAAAATTCAGCTTTGTATCACAAGAATAAATTACATTTGAATATATATATCTAAATAGAAAATACTTATCCTACATTTTCATACTACTTCACATTATTACTGTTTTACGGTATTTTTGATCAAATAAGTGCAGCCTTGGTGAGTATAAGAGACTTACATAACAAAAACAAAAACATAATTATTCAAAATTTTTGACCACCAGTTTACTAGTTTAAAACCAAACCTGACCTGGTTTCTATAGAATACAAACCTAATTCTGTTCTCCCCTGCAGGCGAAACAAATTCAGAACTGCTCCACAAACTTCCATGCGGTTGTTCCGTGTCATTATGAATACAGGCCTATGATTTTACTGCAAACCACGGTTAGACGTTCCCTGTATATTGCCACTGCCGGCTCCAGATGTGGTTACAGCAGAATCATTAATGTTTTTGTCCATTGTTTGTGTTCCAACAGAGCTTCCAGTCTTCCAAAACCAGATGTGGCACCAAAGGTATAAGATTTACACACACATACAGCCAGCCAGAGTGCACAACTGGAGTATTGTGAATGGATTGTGTGTGTATATGTCATTATTCCCCCCTGAGACAGACACACAGCTCTATATGTATGCACGAGTGTGACTGCTGCGTTCAGTTATCTGTCTTGAATTGCTAGAAGTCACTGTCATACAGTTGCTGTTGTCGTTTTGTTTGAGTCCTGCATGTGCTTCTTTCCATGTTTAGGATGATTCTGTGGAAATCATCAAACCCGTTCCCATGACAACCTCCATTCCATCTTCCTCTGACATCACAAACTCCACCCACATCTCTTCATCCTCCAATCGGAGCGCCCGTCCGTTTGGAGGAGCAGGGTCACCACACATAGCCTCCATTCCCTCTGCCGCATCTGCTTTTGCACCCGCCTCCTCAGCTCAAAACCCTAATCCACAGGCTCCGCCCACTCCTACTGATGGCTCACCCAATCATCTACCAGCGGTGCCCCGCCCTTCAGTGTATAACACGCCCATCAATCTCTACTCCAATGAGAATGCCTGCGAGGTTGCCATGGGCCAGAGGCGGGGCCTGCTGGAAAGCCAGGCTGAAAGCTCTCAGCTGAATGGGTAAGAGTTTTATTGACACTTCAATGCTCCACCCACCCCATAAACACAAAGCTCAAGAGAGCTCAACCAAACCTACTAGCTCTGAGATGACGCACAACATTGCAGCATTTCATTCAAAGCAAAAACGTATTAGAAAATTGCTACCTGTATATAAAGACAAAGGGACAAGGCTGTGTTTCTTAAAAAAAATTGAAGTGACGTGACATGTGGCCAAGTATGGTGACCCATACTCGGAATTAGTGCTCTGCATTTAACCCATCCAAAGTGCACACACACAGCAGTGAACACACACACACCGTGAACACACACCCGGAGCAGTGGGTGTGTGTTAAGCTGCTGAATATCAGAGTTATTATACTTAACTATAATGAAAACCACAGAAAATGGTTTTGTTGCTTGAAATAAAATAAACTTTAACTGCAATAAAATACAAAACACTTATTTTATTTCCACTGGTTGGCAAGGACATATTTCTCATTTCATTTAGTTTAACTTCATGTGCTAGCATAATTAAAGCTAAAACTGAAATAAAAATGAATAAAAACTATATAGACATAAAAAACTAAAGTAATGAGAATGATAAAAAACACAACAAAATTACTAAAACTTTAAATTAAAATAGTTTAAAATTAAAACAGAAAATATAAAAATAAACACTAATTCAATCTATTAATAAAAACTATAATATTATCTAAATTATACTAATTTATCACTGCTCAGAACAAGCTCAAACAACAGCTAATCCCATATCTGACTGGTTTAAGCTGTTTTTTTCAGCAGTCGTCTTATGCTCTAATTCAGGGGTTTGTGTCTGGATATAATAGCAATATGAGATATTTTCAAATATCATATTGCAGTTCAAATCGCAATATATGACAAAATAATCACAAAATAATTATCATATTACACAACATTAGACTTATTTCATTAAGTTGAAATAAATTATGGCTTACAGTTTATGATTTTGAACGCATATACTATTTTTTAATGACCTCAGAGCTCAAGGTTGGTATATCTTAAAATGTTTGGATGTTATCACTAAAAATCATAGATTTTGAATGACATTTTTACTTCCAAAACCCACCTTTGAACTCTGTGGCCTCCTGTTGAACGTCTCCACATTGCCAACAGCAGACTCGGTTACTGAGACCAAAACATAACATTAGAATATTGTCGCAGGGTGAATGAGAACACAGACTCGGTACTGATCGAAAGAGCCCCGGAGGCTGATTTATTTGCCCACACACTGATCACACGTGCCCTGATGAATGGTGCTCGGTGCCCGTCTCAGCGTGGTGCTCGTGGGGTGAAGTGCCGTGGTGCAGATCCCTCTCCCAGGGTGCCTTCGGAGTCTGTGAACAAGGAGAAACAAGCATTAATGTCGCCTGGAGCTCCGGGGTGCCT